TCGTAAAGGGCGATCTTGTCAAACTCAATTGCTAGGAGTTATGGAAATATGGTCGAAAGCATTAGATGAGGGAAACAGCATTGATTGTGTGTATCTAGATTATCGAAAAGCATTTTACAGCGTCCCACATCTTAGGCTTCTGGAAAAATTATAATCTTATGGAATTGATGGAAGTTTACTGAAATGGTTAAGATGTTTTCTCATTGGTCGTTCTCAAAGAGTTTGTGTAAATGGAGTTCACTCAACGAGTAAACCTGTAACTAGTGGAATACCACAAGGCAGTGTTTTAGGTCCGATCCTTTTTATCATTTATATAAATGACTTGCTGGAGTCATTAAGGTGCAGCACTAAACTCTTTGCTGACGATACTAAAATTTTTTCAGTCGTATTTAATGCACATGAGGCAAACCTTCTACAGAATGATCTAGAGGAAGTTTGGAAATGGTCAGTGAAATGGCAAATGCCTTTTAACAAAGAGAAATGTAAAATAATACATTATGGAAAACATAATAAATTTTTTAAGTACACCATAGGAAACACCACAAATAAAATGGAACTCAAGGCGGTAAATGCAGAAAATGACTTGGGTGTGTTATTCGACAAGTCGCTAACATTTTCGGATCACATTGCAGATATTGCAAAAAAAGCAAAAATTGGGTATAATTAATAGAACATTCACATCCTTGGACCAGAATAGTTTGCTTTTATACAGAGTATTGCAATATAATTTGGAGTACCTGCTTCAAAAAAGATGAAGATGCTCTGATAAAAGTTCAGCAAAGGCCCACAAGGCTTTTTCCTCAAATTCGTCATCTTCGATACAATGAGAGACTAAGACATCTGAATCTACCAACCTTAACATACAGAAGGAAAAGAGCAGATATGCTGCAAATATTTAAAATTATCCGAGGGTGTGATAAGGTTCAATTTAGCGATTTTTTTAAAAGAAATGAATGCACATCTACTAGAGGTCACCAATGGAAAATTCAGAAAGTTCATGTGAAATCTAAGTCTCGACAAAATGCATTTTCGTTTAGAACAATCAATTCTTGGAACGCTTTTACCAAACTCGATTGTGGATTCTCTTACAATCAACCAATTTAAAAACAGTCTACAAAAACACTGGTCAAACCATCCGCTCAAGTTCAATCCATACGCACCAAAAGAAGAGTCAAGAGGGACACATAAGCTATAAAAAAGCTTCACGTCTCTACATCCAGGTAGGTAGACATTAGGGCAAATAGAAAAATTTATTAGATTATCACTCCATCCACGTCAACAATTCGGGAAATATTGATACAGAAAAAAAAAAAAAAATTTGCCGCATCAATTATTTCAACAGCCGTTAAAAATAATAATGCAATTTTGTGACTAAACTATAAAATTTAACCAGTTTTTATACAATATTTTCTATTACAGTACTAGTCAAATATAAAGAAAACGCCCTCCCTCATCATTTTTTTTAAAGAGTTATAGTCTATAGTGCCCTTACAAATCTAATTTTAAATGCCAAGTGTTACATACTAGCCTAAATATAAAATCAAGTCTGATATAAAAACATGTTTTACTATACGATTACACTATTTTTTTTTCTAGATCTCCACCTGTACAGTTTTAGTGACATCATCATCATCATCATCGCTATCACTATCATCACCGTCATCCTTATTATTGTCCTTTCATCATCAACATAATCAACAACATCATCATAATTATTTAATATTTTTTCTGGACATCCAGGTAAACAAAGTTTACACGGTAGCACCCCAGTAAAAGAGATTTATTTATATATTTTATGTATCCTTAAATCAGAGAGAAAACTTTATACAGCAATTTAGTTTGCTTTTTGTTTATCCTGTCTCTGATTTTTGGTATTGTTATTTCTGTATATTTTGTTTTCTGTTTGACGACGAAATAAATTAAATGAAATGAAAACCTTTTCACAAAAAAATCTTGTGTACATAATTGGTATAAGACCTATCTAGCTGAAGCGAACACAGAACTTAATCAAAAACTTTTACAATTCAAGTGATAGTACACCTCATCTAGAGCGTGATAAATTATTTATTATTGCTTTAGGCGCTCGAAATTCATGGTATTCAATAATGCATAGCTTATTGCATCCTGTGTATTCATAATACATATTTTTTTG